AAGTGAGAGTGATAATAATGCATGCGATATCGACGTATTTTCATTTAAAGCGGAACCTATAGTTTTGCATAATTTTTTAAACCAACATATACTAGTTACTACTACAATGATTCATTCAACCTGTAATCCACGCATTTTAAATAGGTGTTTATAAAGAATACCAACTGTAGCATGTGTTAACAGTATACGCATCTATAATTATGCAAATGCAGGTGGCATATATATAATAAATTAGCAAACAAAATTAGGCAAAAAAATTTTTTTTTTTAATGTGTCTGGACAAAAACTAAGGACATAATATGCCAAGAGAAACCAAATTCAAAATGCAATTACAAAAGGTTTTCATACGGAAATATACATGTAACGCCAGTGGTGAAAACCTCATTTAATTTTAATGCAATCGGAAGAAAAATTGGTCGACTTAAAAGTTATGTTGACTAAGTTTTCAAGAACTTAAAAAAAAAGAATATTTCTCATGTATAGTACCTTTATCAACATGTTGGGAGTTAAGAAAAAAACATGCCACCTTGCAGGTCCAAATAGAAGTAGACAGACAGCAAAAAGTACAGGACGTTAGTGATTATGGTTTTGGAGTAGTGTAAAGGGCTTCGAACGACGAGCAGCGAGTCTGGTTGGTCGGTGATCATTATAGGAAACGATTCGTCAATCACGAGCGACATTTCAGTCTGCATATCAACGAAATACTTAAGTACGAAAATAGTACTCAACGGTTAATGGAGAAATCCAAAAAAAAAATAAAATAAAAATAAAGGTCAAAAAATCGGAAATGTTTAAAACTGCTTAGAAACGCGAATAACGATAGAACAGTCTCTAAGCGCAGAGGCGATACGACTACGGCGGCGAATAGAAATATACTGAACAGTAAATACTAAAGTACTAAACTGTTAGTCAGACGGACGACAGCGCGCGAGAATTACGCCTGAGCATGCCGCCCGCGCGTTACATCATAATTTATTATAATATAATACTATATATATACTATTATTATACATAATACGTCTCCACACACTCAACACGGATAACTGGTTTAAATTTCTTCTCACGGAGGACACAACTCAGTAGTGTAATAATCCAATAAACGCTCTCCCACCCCCTAATAAATGCGATTGACTAGGTTTTTTAACGCTTTCTATATTCTTCCAATGAGATAGACAAAAAATATACTATAAGTAATAATATAATACATATATAAGAGAACAAGCAATGTCTGAACAGCTAAAACAGCTTAAATATTAATTTTATTTCATTTAAAAAACCATATTATCTATATAGAATAATGTACAAACAATATTTTACAACCGAATCGTTATGAGGTATTCAAATTAACTAATTACAATTATGTATTAACTAAGTAAGCTCAGTTCTATAGAATTATATCCATTATCGATATATTATTTTAAACTCAGGTCAACAACTTATTAAGTAGTTTCGATATATATACTGAAGTCCAACTGGTCCAAGAATGTATAAAGGGTATATTTGGTAGATTTTAAAATTACTTAATAAGCTAGATAACCTTTCAGGTACACCCAGTTTAAGTGTAAAACGATCCACATCTACTACTATAATTAACTGGTTCATATTTTGGAGCATACAGATATTATTTTTAATTGTTCAATATAATATTAGATTGACGACGGCGTAGAATATACTTGAGCATTTAAATATTTTGTATTTGAAAAACGAAATTAACAAAAATATATAGTCTATTTTAAATAATAATTAAAAGTGTAAGTTAAATGGGCCAAATAGAAATAAACTAGGTATAAACCTAGCTAGACACATTATTTAAATTTATGTCGACACAATAAAAAAAAATATTAAGCAGTTTATCAATTAAAAGCACGTACAAAAAAGAAAATAATAATAGGTGCATAGTGTAACTTATCAAGCCGTATAGACACGTAAACCTAAAGGTGATGATTGCCAAAGAACGACGGCCGTTTCAACGTGAAAACAATGTCGAAGATTGTTGCAAAACAATTCTCGCACACCTGACAGGAAAAAAATAATAATAACAAGCCTACTTATATTCTTGTTTTTAGTATCTAATAAGCAGTAATGTAGTATCATAGTATGTATGAAAAAATATCATAGGATTATTTTATTAAGTATTTACCAAGCTAACGTGCTAATCAATATCATAATTTTCATGTTAAAAAGTAATTAGTAATGCCTATTATTATTATTATATATTCGTACAATAAAAAAACTAAAGGACAATAATATATATAATACCTTAAGAGTATTATAACAGAATATTTAAAATCTTATAGCAATATATACTGTATAAATATAAGATATTAAAAAACAATAATACATGGCATGCACAACATATTTTTAAAGTTAAAATTTTGGTGATAAATTAAACTTAGTACCTATCTATTTATATTATTTAAGGTTAAGACCAAAATAATTTTGTACTTTATAAGTGATACACATTACACATCAAAATTTTTCATAGAATAACCTTAAGTTGTAAAATTTATTTAATGTGAAATAATTAATAATTGTGAGTAAAAATAAAATGTTTATTCAGAAGACAAATGATAACTATTATGTTAACATTGTTAACAAGTAACAACTATATTGTAAACGTAATTCATAATTAATTAAAAATATATTATAGTTACTATTAATATTAAAAAACCATTATAAATATACCAATAGGTAACAAATTGTAATGATATGATAAAAATATTATAAAATTCAATAAATATTTAATGTATGAATAGAGAATAAAATATATTATTTTATTAGCACATTGTATTGTATTCACTATATAGGCTGTCAAAATAACCTATTTAAATTGTATTACCTGACAATGTTTTAACTACAATTTTATGATTAATAGACCAATCATCTGCATTAGTGATACATGCAAAATTAAAGCTCAAGGTTGTGACAGTTGAATACTAAATTTTACAATTCAGAGAACATTTTTAATGTTTAACTTTTTATATTGGGATTTTGGAAACTCGGTAAAAAAAAATATTAATTTAAAAACATTGAAATAGAATAAGAGAATTGAAAAATAAGCAAAATATAATCAAGACTTTTTCAGTATTTAATCTGTATTCGTATACAGTACCTCATCAATGTTGTAGAAGATTGAAGGTCGATCTGTGTTAAGGGTTAACATGCAGAAAATAAATATTTTCAGCTTACCTGGAGACCCAGGACAGCATGAAATACAGAACATATGATAAAATATTTAATTAAAACACAGAATAAATATTTGTTGGCATAAAAGGAACATAAGTTTATTCAAAATTGTATTAATTAGTAGTAATTAACCTAATCTATTAAAAATAATGTTCAAATTTAATTCTACCTATCTTCTTAATTTTATAAATAACAATACTCAATACAATATTTTAATCATAAATACATCAGATTAATTAATGAAATATTATTTTAAGTACCAGCATTTAATAGTTTCATTTAATACTAATAATAATACAAATATATTATGTAGACCATATAAAAATAGAATACCCAAAATACAATCTTTTAAATGTTAATTGAGAAGGTCATGTTTAAATATTGGTTTCAAAAAATAAAATATTTAACTTATTTTTAAACACCTATAAAACTAAGTATATTTTCTCATGAGTTATTTATGTATATTTTAATAAATCAGAGATAGTTGTAGCTTTTTAGCATTTAGGGGGAAAAATGTATGTTAACTACCAAAATACAAAAAAAATACAAAATATCATATTTATTAAGAATTGATAACCATGTCATTTCGTTCTTACAAATATACAACATAATGCTTTTTAAATCAAGCCGAATGAATTTTGTGTTGTTCATTTTAAAACTGCAAGAAATTGATATATTATTAAATTTAAAGTTGAGACTATTAAATGTGTTCTCTTATTAGTTATATTTTTAATATTTTAATTTAAAAGCAAGTTATGACATTTTAAATCTGAGCAATGAATGTGTTGATTTTATAAGATTTTTTTTGTGTACATATTTTATAGTAATTAAAAAAAAATCCTATGATTTTCAATATCGATATATTTGCTTTCGTGAAAATAAATCCAGTTATTACTTTTGAGATCAAAATTAAAAATCCTCAGAACTTTAAAAAATATAAGATTAATTTTGCAAAACTAATTGATAAAATAATATTCTTATTTTGTTGTAATTCAAATTAAAAAAAAAAAATAATACAAGATTCTTCATAAATTGTTATTATAGTTTGCTTATTTATATAACAAATCTATTTATACTATTCTATAGCAAAAAAGTAACTCAGAAGTTACAGATTTAAACATATATTTTAAATTTTTATAACAATCAAGAGAAATATTATTACTAATATACACTGGCATCCTTTACTTGGAGTTGTTTTTTAAATTATTAATTTATTTATTATTTAGTTAAAATATATAATGTACATTACAGTGATTTATTTAATGATGAAATACACTTATATAACCCATAGTAAAGTGGTCATTTACTTTATTAGGTATTTTTTTTTTTAATTTTAATATTTTACTTCCTTGCAAATTGCTTTGAAAATTAAAACATAAATAAAACCAATGTGAGAACACACGTCATTTTTCTTTATTTAAATTTGATAATAGATAATTTTATTATAATATTGAAATTAAAGAAAATGAATTCTACAGAATCTAAATTTGTTGTTGTATATTTTTAAACCACATTAAGTTTGGCTTTTTCATACTTAAATATTTAATTATATTACAGTATACTGTACGATCTACCCTATTTTAAGTATAATTTTTATTCAAATTTTATAACTTACACATGTATGTAATTAATTAATTTATGTTAGAATGGAAAAATAATAATTTTTCATATAAATATTATACCTATTATAAAACATTCACTATGCACTTTTGGGTTAAAAGTACAATGTTTAAGAGGTACGACTGATTGAATATAATATATTATTACTGCAATACACTATATTATTATTATTGTTTATGAGAGACCAAACTTACATATCGGTGTTAATGTGGCTTTCACAGCTATCCAATTTGTCATCATTACTACAAAGTTCTGATCTTCCTATGAGATCTTTGCAGGTTTGCTGTAGTTCTTTTAACTGTTTTTCATTATTCTCTATTCTCTATAAAATTGTAATAATATTATTTTATTATTGGACACAATTTTAAGCTCGAGTATATTTTATTTTATATTACAGCTAATATTGATGATAGTGCTTCACTGCCTGGAGTCATAATAGTCATCAAATTGTTAGCTAGTTGTTTTAGGTTAATTAATCTTTTTTCATGCTCATTAAGCTCATGCTCTGAACCTGAATCTGACATGCCACTGTCAGAAGTTGATCCAAAACATCCAGATTTTTGGTTTCCACCAACAACGCCATCATCACTAAAACCTTTGAATTTCATCTCAAGTTCCATTAACTGTTTGTCACATTCAGCCCATGTGATCAATGCATTCTGATATCTTAATATCTCACTTTCTAATCTGTAACCATGAACACAAATGTAAATACAATTGTTTATAAGGTAAAGCATAGTAATATTAGTATTTAATCAAGTATTAGCATAATGATTCTAATTATGTTTTATTATAGCATAATATTAATTAGTTTTAATTTAAGTTATTGCATACTAGAAAATATGAGAAGTCATAAACTATTATCAAATACACCAACAACTAAATATTGCCCATTGGATTTGAAAAATATATATAGAGTTTATGAAAAACATCCTGATCTACCAGAAATATCAATTTGTTGTGCGAGTCGAATAAGTAACAGATTTATGTTGACTGAGAAAGTTTGCATAAAAAAATTTAATCCACAATTTATCAAAGTAAATGCATTTAAAATAGTTTTATAATAGGAATGTTATACATATAAATTGGATAATAGGTAAACATCTTTTATTATTAATTAAAAAATATTGTTTATACTTTTTATCCAATGCATATCATATATAATTTTAAAAATCATAACATAAATGTGGATAAAAAGAAATAAATCACAACAAATAATATTAAGGTTCAAAGTTGCAATAAAATAATAAAATATCGAGTGCAAGCCTTATATACACCACAATTTGAAAATGAAATCAATGGAGTGTTATTGATTGAAGTAATTTACTTAGATTTCAAACATTATAAATAAAAATATATTAATGGTTTGATAAAAATCTTATGTAGGTAAACGGAATTCCTAATACGTTCTTTAATGAAACAACAAATTATTACAACAATTTTTTTATTGAAAATAATAACTATCTTTGGGACAAAAAACAATGTACAATTTACGGCACGAGTATAAAATCATCAAACAGGATGGCAATTAATTACTATGAAAAATGGATAACAATATCAAACAATACTATTACTATTAATAGAAAATGTCAAGAATTAGCCAAGTATATAATAAATGCATACAAAAATATTGTTCAGAATACATTTTAAAAACACTAATGACGTTAACAGTGGAAATAAATGGTTGTGTCCAATAAGACAAGATGTGCAATTTTGTGAAGAAGATATAGGTTGTCCAATGATGTGTAACAACCAATTAATTGGAATTGCCAGTCAAAGATATAATTGGAGGACTTGGGCAATGAAAATGGATTGTGGAAATTTAGATGTGGAATTCAGATATTTGTTTTTAAATTGGAAATATGTAAATTGGATAAAACAAGTCATTGGGACAAATCCTTAAAATTTACAATATTGAGATTTTTTTAGTTTTTAGTTTTACTAACAACAACAATTTTTTAAGATTATTTATTTTAAATGCTTGAAAAATACCTTTAAAGTCTAATATTATATAGATGGACTAACCTTTGTTTAGTGTTAGTATAAATAGAATATAAATCTGCGACTTCTTTGTTCATATGATTCAAAATATTATTTGAATCGTTCAACTCATTGAAGTGTCTGTTTAACTCTTCGGTAATGCCCACTATGTTGCGACTATTCCAATAAGTATCCAAATTTGATAATTCAGTCTAAAAGTATTTAGTATAAATTTATAACATGTTAGCCCACATTTGTATTGTTATAAAATCAAAGTAGATAGATTATAATATTAACATACCTTAGCTGTGTGGATTAAAGCTTGAAGTTCATTTTTGTTTTGTACATTAGCATCCAATCGATCATTACGCAAAAATGACAACAAACGACTTTTTATTGCAGCTATGTCAGTTTTTAGCAATTGGATTTTCTCTTGTTTTGAGATATCCAATTCCAAACGTTCACACTTTTTGACCATACCTAAAAATAAATATGGTTAATACAATAAGTATTAAGTTAACAATAAAATAGTGATTAACTGCAAAATAATAATGAGTATGAGAACAACTATATTATATTAATACAAGATACTAGGCAATATTTCCATTTAACTTTAAATACGATAATTTTCTTATTTACAAAAATAAAAGTGCATTGGAGCTTGATTAAATTTGTATCAAAATGGTTTTACTTTTATATAGTTTAAGTACTTCTTACAACACTAAATTTCTATGAAAAATATTTGTTTAATAATTATCCAACACACATCGCAATGTTTAGAAAAGAGTGTTTCTAAAATCTATTACTTATATACTAGGTATAAAAAATTTAACTTAGAAATCAATTAAATCGGTTTTTTTTTTTTTTTTTTTTATTTACATACAACAATAACTTAGAATATGATTATAATATTGTATTTCAATTTTTAAAGGGCAAAAATTTCCATACATAAATAAGTAGGCTGTGATTGGGAGATGCTTGGGGGAGGGACTTGCCCCCCAAAATTATTAAACATTTTTCAAAGTATTAAATAGGTAGGTATATACTTTGCAACAATGCAAAGAAAGATTTAACCACTTAAAATTCAATCAAATATCCGCCTGTGTATAGTTATATTGACAGGATATAACAGAAAATAAACATCAAATGCGCATAACAAGGTAATTTTTTTTTCTTACATACACGTTTTTTACCTTCGTTGTCTGTTACGCAAGCTATAGTGTTATTTAGTTCGATGATGCATCGTCTCAATGTTTCCGTCTCTTTAGATCGATAATTTCTAACCCTGTCTTTCATTATATCAAACCTCTGGTCGATATCAATTTCGGGAAACTCGTCATCAACGACAGCGGACGATTCATTAGGACAAGCTGACGCGGGTCGATGAAAATTCATCTTTTTCGGGGTCGATCGGTGAAGTCGTTCTAGGTCATTCTTAATCTGTTGAAAACTTTCGTCTAAGCTACAGTCAAAAACACTTGAAGAATCCGTTTCGTCCGCGCTTGTGTCGAATTCTAACCGCTGTGACTCTAGGTCGAAAAACGGAATTTCGAAATCGGACGTACCGCCGTCGTTGTCCGGTTTGCGGTCCATTTGGAATTATTATTATACTTGACGATTTGCATGCGGTTATTCTTTTTTTATGAGCCCGCCAACACCGTGGAATAGTTGTTTATAAATAGAATTGAATATACCATAAATATCTTTTCTAACGGTTCTAGGCCAACGTATTCTAGGTTATTTTGTCATCATTTGCACGAAGTAACCAGTAAATTGACATTTTTCTGTAAGAAACATTATTATTTATATAACCATATGGATGTTATGAAAACACCTGCATTTTTATAACACAGTACGGTCCATTTTGTGTTTTTTTTTTTGTATTTAAGTTTTTATTATTTAAACGACTGATTTACCGAAATTTGTAATTTTATAAATCATTATTTAATTTCTCCTTTAAAATTATAACAACTAATAGGCGACAACAATTTTGAGGGTTAATAAGTACAAAAAAAAAAAATATATATATATAATGACAATTCACGAAACGTTTGAAATGTATAAAATTGGAGTTGTACAATAGATTTCAGTACACAATTATTAACCATCAAGTTTAGTGAAAGTCTGTCAACTGTTGGTAGTATTTTATTTAAAAACTTAAAATTTATGATCAATATTTCTATGTTTTTCGATATTTATGAAAGTCAAATGCGTGATTTATTTATAGGAAATGGGAAAATACTGCTTCATTAAAACTAAAAATGTTAAATTATATTATTATCATGTTTGTATATTATTTTGCCATCTTTACAATATTACCTATTGTATGTGTATTGTGTAGTAGTGAAGTGCTGAGATAAATACACCTAATCTATCTCACAATCGTTATTTTAAATTTCGTTATAAACTATTTTAATGAGTTAACAGTAATAATAATATTGATTATAAGTTATAACATTGAATACTAGCTTTCAATTTGTACAAAATATCAAAAATGAATTGTGTAGCAGTGCTCAAAAAATGATCTTTAGGATATTGTTCTATTTTGTGCATTCATTTAAATAAATTATGAAATATTAATCATTATCTAAGTTTAATAGTAAACAATATATTACTGTTATTAAATCGTATTTCTAGGTTTTAACAAGAAATATAAAAAATATCAAATTAGTATAAAGGATGGTTACTATTTAATATTAATGGCTAGAATTAATATTTAATAGACCTTATCATATTCGCTTTTATTTATAATTGTTACTAGGATACATTTTTAAGAAAATTTGGTAAAGTATAACAATATCCAAAAGTATATATGGTTGGAGGTTTATAATTGTTGGTCGTGTTGGAGAAACATATGCATATTATAACAACTTCATACACATAACATGAAATAACACGACCATATGTAGCTCGTACGTTAAAAAACTTAATTTAATTAATATAATCATAAATAATTAAATTATTTATAAAAGTAGTGAGAAATACGAAGATCTTACTTTCTAAGATATGGGAAAAGGAAGTTTCGTATGTATAACAATTCTATAATATTATGTCTATTGAAGGAAAATTCTAAATAAACGTAAAAGAAATTGTATAACAATAATTCAAAAATTATACATTCAAAATTCAAGAGAATAATTAAGTTTGTTTACTGTTTCTAGTTTACACGCATTTTATAAATTTATAATACATAACTATATAAGATAATAATATATATAATATTGTGGAAAATACAAACAATGAAATTAATTATGTGTATTTTCGATAAAATCACATACATATGTGTTTACGTATACTTGTTTACAAAAAAAAAAAAAAAAAACAAACAAACAATTTCACAAAATATTATCTCAAGACGATTTCGATAAATTAAATACTGGTCACTTTTCTAAACAAAAAACGTGCGTTTTTATGCATAGTTTCAACAAAATACTTGGATGGTTTTTTAATAAACATAATAACTTAAGAAGATATTCTATACATTTTTAATAACTACAGATGATCGATAACAAAAACAGATGTGATTTTAATAATACGAAAGTACTTAATGAATATTAATTTAAAAAAGGATTTATACATATAGGTGTTCTAAGGATTAAGTGAAAAACATTTTTAGAAAAATCCATTTATTACCTATTAATATGTATAATATCCACTTAGCGATTAAAACATATAGGACTAAGGGCTTTATTTACTAAAGATATATCAAAAAACACGTTTCCTGCAAGGCGATGATTGTGTTTTTATACATGATGAGGACCCTTGAAATGTTTACATTTTATAAACGGGTCTTGAATAGTCGATTTATTATGTAATATTAAGAGCACAGGAAGTGACCTTATAATACATTTGTCGGTTAAATATAAATATAACATTACATTTTTTATAATACATAACGTATAGGATAACCGAAAGAACAAAAAGTTAAATAACGGAATTTGAAATAATAAGTTATCAAGTTCATAAGTTAAACTGCATATTAAAGTTTTTAATAAAATATAATTAAAAAAATTAACAAAAGAAGTAGGCGCAGTTTAGTACGAGAAAAATATAGTACTTTACGTGATTATTAATGGGTTATCGATTATATTGTGTGTTCTATTTAATTATTTCGTTTTACTAAAGGATGTCGTATTTAAAAACGATTTAATTGAAGTTAGATTACGAAGGGGCGTTAATTATCAATTTTAGTTATTGGACTTTGACAGCTGATGTCCAATATTTATTTATTGTTTATATTAAAAGTACATGAAAGACTGAGGGCGGAAGTTTACACCGCATGGAGTACAAAATAAGAATTTTGTCAAATTATGAAATGTATCATTATTTATAGCTGAGATATTAAATAATTTTTCAATCCAGTATTGGGTATTGGTATTTGGAAAAATAATTGCGTTAAACTATGAATATTTTATGAGTTTTGACGACGTACAGAGTTATTTATGTTATGTACTATGATTTAATGACAATTAAACATTGATATAATATTAAACACAAACATACTATCGAAATAAATATAAAATTGTAGGTATCATTGGATTCATAGTATTAACATTTATTATAGAGTGGAGATACTGTTACTTTGCAGAATATCCGCTTATGTCCAATATTTCAAATAAATACAAATTTTTAACACATAAGTCAAAGCATTAGTAACGTGTTCTATGCGTGAAAACTTGACTAAGAAAATTTTGGATTTATATTTTATTTAATTCTTAATAGATGATTATATAATCATACCATACTAGGTGATTATAAAATTATTTTTACAGTACCTGATAAGCTCATAGGATAATAACTACATACAAGTATTGATCTTAATAACAATTAAAAACGCGAATAATACCCAATAATATTTTAAAAACGGTAATAATAAAGTATAACTAACAATAGGCACTCTCAAAAAAGTTTACCTCAGAAAGTCAAAATTGAATAGCAATATGATAGACCAAATACGTGAATCATATTATAGAAATAATTATTTATGTTACCATTAATAGTGGTTTAAAAAAATAAAAATCACTGTCTGTATCCGATTCAATGGTGGAACTGCGAGAAAATCTATCACAATATACTAGTATGATGTTAAAATATTTTGAAATTTTTATGAATGCATACCTACCAAATAATAATAATAGTGCTCAATCACAAAGCAACTAAACAAACTACAAAGAACGATTTGTTAAGCATGCATGATTAAGATTCTTAGCATTACATAAGTATATTAACAACATTTTGAGTATATTTTGTAACGACAATTTATTTTTTTATTCGAAAAAGTATGGAAAACGTCAAAATTTAAACTAGATTGTGATCTTTTTTAATGTGTTAAGAACAAACTATGTCCTCAGGTTAAGGACTATTGCTAGTGAACATTCATTCAATGCTTCAAAGTTCTTAAAAATATAATCTGTTCAAAAATTTAAAAAATTAAGTACTTATTTGGATTAATGCCAGGATTTGTATCTAGTTTGAAATAAATCAATGTCTGTTATTATAATACAACTAAATAATATCATAATATTGTAAAGCTAAATGTTTAGATTTTCATGCGTCGAACGGTACAAACTGGTGCAGTGTTATCACGGGTCAGAAGTTGTTCAGAGCCTGTTGATTCCAGCGGCTCCAGGTGGTAGGTATATCCCCACGTTTCTATGATACTGACGAGACAACACGTGGTGCCCGCCGGCCGCCGGACTACTACAAACGAGCGCTGTTCGTCAAGAATAACGTTAGCGCGTGACGAGATTTCAAAACGCAATTATAATTTCTATTATTAATCTGTCGTAGCAAAAGTTGTTGACATACATAATAATAATAACTGTTATAGTATCATATCGTGTACATTGTATATGTATTATTATATTATTATGTATGTTGTCGATGACCGTTTAGAAAAATAAAAATACAAAACGTATCAAAATGGACCGCACTGATTAACATGCGGTTTTTTTATGATTGTAAAGCTTTATTTTTATGTATACGTCGACCGCCGGCACAAATATATTCTATTGTCGCGTGCGTACGTTTACAAATAATAATAATTAATAACCATAATAAAAAACCACATCTCGAAGATGACGACTGTGCCAAGCCCCGACGAAACCACACAAGTGTGTAACACATTATTTAAAAAATTATTATTATTATTATAACTACTGTAATATTAACCCTTCGTGTGTGAAAAAAAGGTCCCCGTCGACTCTTTAACGACGCGTCAATGAAATGGTGGAGATGTTTAAAAAGGGGGGACTGAATATTCAATAAAATGGTTACCGAATACGTAAACAAAATTCTGAGGTCTGCGAGGTCATAGTCTACAAGATAACGTGTTGCAATGTGTCCCGAACATGGTTAATAAATTATAACATGTTTATACGGTACATTAGAATATTGTTTTTACAGTGTACGAAGTTGTGAACAATGACCGTGAAATACGAAGGAGGGAAAATTCCCAGAATGCATGGCGATGTGAGTCGTTTACTAAATTGTTTAGGTATCAAAAATTCAAAAATATTGCGCTAACGGAAAAACGGAAGATTTTAAAAATCGGCAAGGATTCGAATGCTTTCTTGTAGGATCTCTTTGTCAATGTTCGTCACTTCAGTTTTAAACAAACTTCTGATAAAAGTCCTCGACGACAAAATTATAGGAACACGCCGTTTCGTGAATTTTGTTCGTTATCCCCTGATTGATTTTGATGACGCTTGTACTGTACTTACCATATTATACCATGGTACTCGCATAGTTGCACACTCATAATAATTAATAATAATAATGGCCGTCGTCGACGTAACAACATTATAATATGATAATTACGTTCTGTCGGAATAGACAAGGTAAGACGATAGGCAAAACCCCGCGACGTAAAACCGGGTTTCCACAACAGTATCGTATTGTTTTCTGTTTATTTCGTATAATAATGTTGTAAGTAAAAAAATTTCGGTAATACATTACCTACAAGTCAAACATAATATAATTCTATTTATACTCAACATTACGCGACGCATTATAGTGGAAACCCGGCTTAAAATTTACAATTTATAAGAGTGATGCCGACGGTCGTTGTTGACTAGGACGCTTAAGTGATAACATTTACAAACTTGAATGTAACACGACAACTGCGTGACGCGAGAACACAAATAGACGTGCATGATGAAAAACGAAAAAAAAAACAATTATTATTCACAAGCACTAGGGAAAAAACAATAATATATTAAAATATTACGAACGTTAATCGCGAGATGCAAGTTGCACGCGGAACAAATTGCAAAGCGATTAGCAGCACGACAACAAGAACACTTCGGCAGCTGCTGATTGACTGAATCTGATATCTGAATTACCGAGAGTAGCCCGACGGCAAGGCGGCGGCGAGTTGCGACGGCGAACGAAACACGACGGCGGCTCATAAAGCACGCGTGCGTTCTGTCGAAACTGCGGTTCGGATAAGCCTACCAACTTCAACCGTGGTCGAAACACGCGTACACGGGAAGGGTCCACGAGAACAATATTAATTCATCTCGGCGACGATTCCGTCGTCGCGTTTGAATACGTTGTTATCAAACGGAAACGTGTAAGAGGGGTAGAGCGTGCGGGATATGCGTTTTATTAGCGGACAGTACCGTCAGTGGTCCCCAAAATGGTCAAACTGCAGGTTCCCGGTTCAGTGGTTATAACACATTTGCAATTTATTATGGTTGACGAGTGGTACGGCAAAATTATATAATTCTTTTGTTAAAAATATTAAAACGTTTGCACAAGCACTATTAAAATACCTTTTACTCGATTCTCTACAAAAAATTGATTAATAGATTAGTATATTATTCACTATAAACCAATAACATAGTGAATGTTTTTGAATTTAAGTTTGTAAAAGATGCGACTCTATTCGGTTCGATTTAAATGATAAAGACGATAAGTTTAACATTTTTTTATAGGTCCTCATTTGGTATACCTACCGACATATTTAGAATCCACAGATGTCATAGCCACGTGAATTTATAGTTATTCACAGGGCTATTTTAAGATTTAAAGTTAGACATACTTTATTCTATATCATCTACCCTTTTTGGTGACTTGTTCATAATATGTTACATTTTGAAACAATTAAGTAACCAGATTCTGTGCCCCTTTCTTATTTTATTCCTTTACGTACTTAATTACCTACACGGCTACACCTAATAATAAAATTACATTTACAGAAACCAATTCATTTATACTTGTACTTACACAGATAAGTTGGTTAGAAAATATAAGAATAAAAATAAACCTAGGTATCTATAGCAGTATTTTTTACGCGAAAAAATGTAAGTATTTCATTAAAAGCTGTAATGATTTATCAGTTTAAGGGGAAGACTATCAAAATTAAAAATCATAAACTTTTTATTACAATTTAATTTATTTAATTTAGTTATTTTACATTTATATAATCTATACAGATCGCATATATTATTATAATAAAGTATGGAAATAATAGATACATAGAGATCAGATACTTAAAATATTAAATTATAAAGCGTTAAATAAATAGCAACTACTAATACAGCTAATACAATCGTGTTTATGGCAATACATAGATTATAAACATACATATTTAATATTAATATTATGCTGATATACTTTATTATACTCGATATAAATTCTGATAAAACGTTTACGATTGAATGTTTAGTAAATAGCAATACGATAGTACGATACCATGATTTAAATGAATATGCAGCGTAATATATTCATGCTGCATTAATGTTCGATCAAAATATGTATTTCATAAATGTACTCGTATAATATAAAAATATAGTAAATACTTCAATTTATACATTTTTATATGTATTGAAGAAAGTATAATGGATGCCAACTATGTAACATGTATATTATATAAACATTATATTGTAAATTACATTATTATTATTGAGAAAAATACATATTACACGATAATGATGAAACATGAATATTTAATTAAAAATTATACTTGATTAGCTTAACATAATAAGATCCTATAATTTGTATACAATTAAAATATATTGTGGGTAATTTTGTTTTATTGTTTTTCTCTCGTTTTTCTCTATTGTAACTTTATAAACAATTGAGAAAACGAAGTCTACCTGGCTTATACTTATTATTCAGTAGAATTTATTATTTCTAATTTTAAGTTTTTGTTTCTGTAGTATTAATGAAGAGAATGCATAAATACCATTTAATCAATTTAATCTAATACACAATCAGTCATTAAAAGATAAACAATAGTAATTTATAAAGTTTAATTAAATTGCATAAATCGTTATACAGGTAATTACCAATTAACATGAAATTTAATATCATTTAGATTTGTCATCTTTTTTACGTGAAGGCAAAGCCAACAATTATTCTTGTGATGTGGTTAAATAATGTAAATGTGAAGTTTTAAATTTCAAGTACAGGAGTACCTATTATTTAAAATGTATTCTGTCATGGGTATTTAATTAACAAGAGTAAATTATATAAAAGTTTAAGATTTAGGGGCTTTAAGGTCGTGGTATTTATGTCAAAAGTAGTAATAACGTATAATTATGTACTAGCAATATTATTCTATATAAGTATAATGTATTAAATATATTATAATTTATATTTTTAAAAATCGTTTACTGATGTCTTAAACAATTTTTGTAATAATGACCAATGAGTAATGACTAATGAGCATTAAAAAAAATATTTATTATTTATGTAATACATAATGATCAAATTTAATTGGACCAACATAATTATTAGTGCAACCAAGCGTTAAGACTTATTTTTTTAGTAAAAAAACGTACAAACTTATGAGGTATAATTATATTTTTAGCACTCATTTACAGAGCCAACGTTCCGAGGTAACAGTTATTATTGTTTATAATACAATTTTTCTTACTATTCTATTGTTATGTACAATTCTCTATGTCCCTATATATCACGCTCTAATGACCACGGTGAGGTGTAACGTTGGGTAGACAACATGATAGTAATAATACGGGCTTATCATACATCAAAAAGCATGAATCCAAATCATAAATCAATAAAAATCGTTTACTGTGAAATGATCAAAGAATTGTAGTATTGTACGAATAGTTCAGTAGTTCGTCCCCGCATAGTTAATAACCATACTGTATAACTATAGCTATAACCATATTATATTTACACTATTATAGAACCTAAATGTATAAATGTATTTAAATTTTCAAAAATGTACAAAAAAAAAAAAAAATGTATTCAAAAATTCAAATACACGAATAAATGTTTTGAAATTTTTACATTAAATTAGCACAAAAAAAAAATTAATATGATTTATGAAGAAAAAAAGAATTTTAAATTAAACATGATACTCAAAAATAAGTCTTAGTTATCCGATCTTTTTTAATTATAACAATTGGTTCAGAACAGTGTATATGCAATATAATAGGGCGTACCTACAAAGTATCTATTTAGAAATATGGAAATCGACGATTAAATATAAACAACAAATATAAAATAAAAGTTTGAACACTATGTATAGCATACATAATTGGAAATTTGGAACTTAGTATTAAATAAGTTGTATTTATATGTCACAGTTTCGTTAATATTTAGAAAAAAAAAATTACAATATAGGTATTTAAAATTAAAATTAGAATATTTATTTAAAACCTATCATGATATTTATGCACATATTTTTATTTATAAAGATATAAGTATATTTTCAATAAAAAGTATCAATTATGGTATCTACTTAATTTTTATAAAAACTAAAAACAAGAAATATTATGTTTACCCACGCCTATTTATACATGCGTACAACTATAAATGGCATAGTTCCTAATACCTACGTATATATTATATACGCTGAATTACAACACTATAACTGATCATACTCGTATAGTCACCTCATCGACTGGATAGCGTATTTTATTATAGCATTAGAATTCAAAACTATTCCGTAGGTTCAAAGGTGGGCGGTAGCTCGAGGTCGAAATTAAGGTACAGAAAAACGAGATTGACAGTTGGCATATTATCTATTTATGTTTTTTCGAAAGTTGAGATTTGTTCGTTTTTCCCGGTCATTCACTTACTGCTGCTGCTGATGCTGTAGGGGTGACGAATGATGGCGAAATAACGAAAGAATGTAATAATATCGATAGTTTTGTATTCAGGAGTTCGGGACACGGTATTATAATTCATACTCATGTCATACGATGTGACAATGGATTCGGATTGACAAAAAAAAAAAAAAAATGATACATAATGACTATAATTTACCTTTGATCATGGTTTGCGTGGCTGCGTGCGCCACTTCCAAGCGGATAGCCATTTATGGACTGTCGTCGGTTAACACCACGGGTAGACAAGAAGTATTGCAAAATAACAATTATAACGACGAATGTTTGATTTTTTAATAGAAAAGTTTTACACAAATCGCAGGCGAAAACTATACACGGATATACGGTAGCATTCGGTCGTCGTACCACACTGCGCTGGCGCAATGGATGGACTGGTTCATGATAGCATATATTGTTATATTTATTAGTGCGAAACGGTAGCGACAATAATATGAGCCAGGCAATAACGAACGGAGAATGGACGTAGAAACATTTACGAAAAGCGATTAGAAGATATATATTATTAGGTGTAGCCGTGTAGGTACATCAACGCACGATTAAAATTATTACCAATATAATATTATTACTGAAAGCTATCGCGAATCATAAAACTGTATACGATTATAATAATATGTAAATAGTGTAAGCGGCGAACATGCGATCACCAAACAGGTGATTGCTGTACTACACAGAGCGCGCAAAACGCGTGCGCCACGATACGTTCTTGAGCGAACACCACACGCGAGTATTAAAAATCATAATACAAGCAGGCGCGACGTCATTCAGAGCAGGTGGGGCGCAACCGTTGCTCGCCCGCGACCCGACGAGTTAATACCATTTTATATTATGTATAGACGTATAGTGTATTCCTATATTACTTGGCGGCTGGAACTTGGGTGAGTAATATTGTCGAGATATATTTATTATATATACATCGCCGTCACGATGATAATACGATATTATATACTAGACAGGTAATACCCGTACAGCGTAATTACAGTCGGTAACTCTTTTCACAAATACGCCCACCCACCCATATCTCTATTTCTATATGCACAAATTATGCATTCATTCGAGTTATGATTTTTGGAATCTTTATATGCAAATGTATTCAATGACCTCATTTTCAATCGTGAACTTCC